GGGGGGCACTGGGGCTGTACTGGGGGCACTGGGGGGCTCAGAGCTGAACCCCCCACATCCTCCCCTTTGCAGCCCCTGCAGAGCAAGGCCGTGGGGGCCTCAGAGCACGTCAGGGGGTACCTGTGTGTGGAGGCACTGTGATGGTACTGGGGTGGTACTGGGGGCACTGGGATGGTACTGGGGTGGTACTGGGGGCACTGGGATGGTACTGAGGCCGTTCTGGTGGTACTGGGGACACTGTGATGGTACTGGGGCCATTCTGGTGTTATTGGGGGCACTGTGATGGTACTGGGGCTGTTCTGGTGGTACTGGGGCCGTTCTGGTGGTACTGGGGTCGTTCTGGTGGTACTGGGGGCACTGTCAGTGACTCCCCGTGCCCCCCCCACTGCAGCCCCTGCAGATCAAGGCCGTGGTGGCCCCGGAGCACGTCAGGGGGTACCTGTACGTGGAGGCCTACAAGCAGACCCACGTGAAACAGGCCATCGAGGGCGTGGGCAACCTGCGCCTGGGCTACTGGAACCAGCAGATGGTGCCCATCAAGGAGATGACCGACGTGCTCAAGGTGGTCAAGGAGGTCACCAACCTCAAACCCAAGGCCTGGGTCCGGCTCAAGAGGGGCATCTACAAGGATGACATCGCCCAGGTGAGGGAGGGACACACCTGGGGGGCACCTGGGGCTGGGGGAGGGGTTACCTGGGGCTCACCTGGGCATTCCTGCCCCCTCCCCCAGGTGGATTACGTGGAGCCAAGCCAGAACCAGATCTCCCTCAAGATGATCCCCAGGATCGACTTCGACCGCATCAAAGCCCGGATGAGCCTGGTGGGTGAGGGGGGAGCACCCCTGGGGCAGGGAGGGGATCCCAGATGGGTGAATCCACCTTGATCCCCGGGGTGAGTGGATCCCTGGGAGTAGCTGGGTCCCTGGGGTGAGTGGATCCCCGTGGGTGGATCCCTGGGGGTAGCTGGATCTCCATGAGTAGTCTCTGGGGGTACCTGGCTCCCCGAGGGTGAGTGGATCCCCTTGGGTGGACCCCCAAGGGTGAGTGGATCCCTGTGGGTGGACCCCCGAGGGTGAGTGGATCCCCGTGGGTGGACCCCCGAGGGTGAGTGGATCCCTCTCCTCCCTCCACCCCCCGCAGAAGGACTGGTTTGCCAAACGCAAGAAGTTCAAGCGGCCGCCCCAGAGACTCTTCGACGCCGAGAAAATCCGGTACCGCCCCCCCGGGATCCTTCCTGGGATCCTCCCCGTAGGATCCCCCCTGGGATCCACCCCCTGGGCTCACCCTGGGCTCACCTGGGGGTCCCGCAGGTCCCTGGGGGGGGACGTGGCCTCCGACGGCGACTTCCTGATCTTCGAGGGCAACCGGTACAGCAGGAAGGGCTTCCTGTTCAAGAGCTTCGCCATGTCGGCCGTGGTGAGACCCAGAATCCCCCTTTTTGAACCCAGAATACTCCCGTGGGAACCCCAAATGCACGGCTTGAGCCCAAACCCCCCCAGTCTGAGCCCAGTTCCCCCCAAACCCCCCCAGATCACGGAGGGGGTGAAGCCCACCCTGTCCGAGCTGGAGAAGTTCGAGGACCAGCCCGAGGGCATCGACCTGGAGGTGGTGACTGAGAGCACAGGTAGGGGGTCCCCAGCCCCCCAAAAGCCCTCCCCAGACCCCAAATCCCCCAAAACCCCTCTCCCCAGCACCCCCAACCCCAAACTCCCCCTGTTCCCCCGGGCAGCACAACTTCCAGCCCGACGTTGAGGGGTGTGAGGGGGAGCTGAGCCACCTCCAGCAGCCCCCCAAAATCCCCCCAGATCCCCCTCCCCAGTGCCCCCCAGGCCCCAAATCCCATTTCTCTCCCAGGGAAGGAGCGGGAGCACAACTTCCAGCCTGGGGACAACGTGGAGGTGTGCGAGGGGGAGCTCATCAACCTGCAGGGCAAGATCCTGAGCGTGGACGGCAACAAAATCACCATCATGCCCAAGCACGAGGACCTCAAGGTCTGGAGACCCCAAAACCCCCTGAAAGGCCCCCAAAACCCCTTTTGCCTGCCTTGACAGGGGTGTCTCCTCCAGGACATGTTGGAGTTCCCAGCCCAGGAGCTCAGGAAGTATTTTAGGATGGGTGACCACGTGAAGGTGATCGCGGGGAGGTTCGAGGGCGACACGGGGCTGATCGTGAGGGTGGAGGAGAACTTCGTCATCCTCTTCTCTGACCTCACCATGCACGAGGTGAGTTCGGGGCGAAAAACGTGGGAAACGAGGTCGGGGAGCATTTGGGGTGAAAAACAAGGGGTTTGGGGGCAGTTTGGGGTTTGGGGGCAGTTTTGGGTGAATCCCAGGGGTTTGGGGTCAGTCCAGGTTTGGGGTGAAATCAAGGGGCTTGTGTCAGTCCCCCTTTGGGGTCAGTCCTGGGGATTTTGGGATACATGCCAGGGATTTTGCGTCAGTCCTGTTTTGGGGTGAATCCCGAGGATTTTGGGTGTGTTTTCCCCCCCAGCTGAAGGTGCTGCCCCGGGACCTGCAACTCTGCTCCGAGACGGCATCGGGGGTGGACGTGGGGGGGCAGCACGAGTGGGGGGAGCTGGTGCAGCTGGACCCCCAAACCGTGGGGGTGATCGTGAGGCTCGAGAGGGAAACCTTCCAGGTGAGACCCCCCAAAAT